GGCTCCCGGCCCTCGCACCTGCTCGGTAGAAAAGCCTTATTTTGAGGGGCAGGTTGATTTTGCACCCCAATGGGAGCAGAAGGGATTGGGGTGGGTGTGCTCCTGCCTGGAGTTGCTATGGGGCACCCAGTGTGCATTGGGGCTCCCTTGGAGGGGTTTTCAGGCTTTGGGGGCAGGATGGGAGAGCCAGAGGGAGGATAAGTCCCAAGAGGCTGCTAGGAGACCCTCCCCAAAGGAGGGACACTCCCCTCTCCCAAGGACATTCCCCAATACCCTCCATAGCCAAGGTGCCCCAGTGCCAGTGGGTGAGCTCAGTCTGGCACAGCCCTCCAGGGCATCAGGCTGGCTCCTGGGTGAAAATGAAGGATTTTGAGGAGAGTGTGAGGGCAAGGTCGGGGGCACAGGCAGATCCAAACAAGTCAGAGCTCTCAGCCAGAGGCTGCTGCACCCACATCCCAAAGCAGGTGATCCCCCAGACCCCAAGCATGCTTGGGGCAGGTGCAATGCCCCCATCCCTTCATGGGGTGCTGGGAGATGGAGGGGACCCTTGGCCGTGACCCCACCATGCTGTCCTGTTTTGCCTTTGCAACCCAGCAATACCTTGGGTTTCAGGGTGTCCACATGCTGCCAAGGGCCACACTGGGGGCTCACATGTAATTGCAGCTCGTGGCAGAGATGGGTCCAGCCCTTGCCAGCCCACAGGATGCAAAGCTGCCAGATGCACCTGGGGTTTATGATGCCATCCTCTCCCTAGTATATGGTGGGTTGTAGTCCCCAGTTATGCCATAGCAGGGCTTGGGGACATCAGTCAGCCTGTTGTGAGCTGGTCCACCTATGCTACAGGGTGCCAACAACTCCTGGGCTCCATGGTGGGGTTCTGGGTGTCCCCAAGGAGGGTGAGCCGACCCCCAGCTCTGCAGTGAGGATGGGGGAGCAGGGGGACCCTGTCACCTGCAGAGCAGGGATGCTCTGAGCAGTGGTAGCACTGGGAGAGGGATGGTACTGGGACTGAGCTGCACTGCAGACCCCATCATCACAGCACCAATTCGCAGCAGAGGGTTGTGCCAATGGCCTCGCCCTGCTGCTGTCCCTGTCCCCACACTGTCCCAGCCTCCAGGATGAGCAGCATTGGGGAGTGGAGTCAGCTGTTGATCAACATGGCTGAAACAAGAGCAGCCAAATGGCTTTGGCTCATCAGATCCTGAACTGGTTTACCTACCAGACAGACGGACAGACGCTGGGGCTGGCACAAGGGAGACAGC